GTTTGAAGAAAGCTAATATAAAGAACGATATGAAAAGTATAATATAAGTAAATTGATATATTTTACCGAATTGATGTGGTTGAAAATCGAGCATAGTAAGTAGATGTGTAGAGAGAACTTTTTTTGTTTTATCATTATAAGCAAGAAGTGAATCACCTGATTGTAAATCAACAATTGATTTTTGTTTACCATCAGATAAAGTGACAAGAGAATCAGCAGAAAAACAACGTTGTTCCTGCATTACTGAATCTATACAAAAAGAAAAGATAGAGATAAGAATATTGAAAAAATTTATATGTAAATGTATATGGTATAGACCTCGTATTGAACAACTTGGACTATTTCGATCGGGACAACAATTTATTGATAAATTGATAATTTCCTTAAAAGCTGCTTGACCAATCTAAATAAATAATATAAAACATATTTGATCAAAACAAAATTCATATATCTATAAACCTGTTGTCCAATACAATCTGACAGATGGCCTGATGCACAAGTCGCAATTAACGATGCTGATTTACATACTCTTTGAATGTCTAAAAAATTCCACATAATAAACATATAAACTGTTCATATACTAACCATTTTTAACAAGTCCAAGAACAATTGTACTCGTAAAAGACAGACATTCAATTAATTCCAATGGTTCTGCTGTTAAATTGCATCTCGCATTTGTCGTTAAGACAAAACAACCAAAAATAAATACAATTTTGAATAACATCTATATGTAATGATCATAATAAGTTAATTAAAATAAAATAACTTACACTATTCAAAGCGACTTACTATGCTTAATATTAGTAATAAATTCAAATTGATTGAATAATTACAAAAAAAGAAAAGAAAAGATATTCGTAAATCACAGATGTCTACTGAATTATTTTATAGAACAACAAAAGGTAAAAAATGTATTTATGGATGCTGTTCGTCTCGTATACCATCTTACTCTTAATCAATGACAACAGCTGAAATTACAAACCTTCATGTTTTGCTAAGATGATAACGGCACATCGTATTTGAATTTGTTCTTATAAAGTTTTTAAAAAAATATGCAAAAGATGATGCTTGAATTATTAGTCAACACTAGAAAATGCCTTCTATTGACACCTGATTAAATATAAGATCAGGTTTTATTTGTGTTTAGGTAAAGTATTGACAAGTTTATCGATGCATGGACTTTTTTTTATAAAATAAATCTGATGCAATTAGCAGAGACATTGATATCATGTACGTTATGTATTTATGAGAGTCTATGAAAGTCAACTGTTGAGTATCCTATTGCAATCAAGCTTTAGCAAATAGAGAAAAACAACAGGTCATTTCTAAAGTTTACAAGAAAATTGAGAAGTAAAATCATGACCATGGGTACATTTTCAAAATATATATGAATCCTGATTGACATCCAAATAAGCATGCATTCCAATTCATTGACATTATAAAGACTTTTTTCATTTCCTTTTACCTAGCATCATCTATTTTGATAATTTGATGCACTGTAAACATACAATGAGGGATGATTTCGATGAACAACTGATGAATGAAACATACAATAGGCTGAAAAATTTAAAGAAAGGTAAAAAATGAATCAAACTTAAACTCAAACTAATGAATTTGAACTTCTACAATTGTTTCAGAACTCAAATGAACAGTAGCAGTCAGCTTTATCTATCAGTATCTTTTAGTAAAATCTCATCGCTTCAGACTAATCTCTATGAAGATCATCTGTGGCCACAAAGTTCAACAATTATGGAGATTTTTTCTCCATGAGTAAATTCAAAACTACATCCATAGATGCGTAGTTGAAACAACTGACTCGTCTACTCTCTACAGAAGATTAGAAAATGTATTTTTTAACTGTTCGAGACTGATGAATTTTCTCTTGAATGTAAATCTTCAAAATATTTACGTTGTTCTGTCTCTTATTTAACAATTCAAAGGATTTCAAGTACATAGTATATTTGATGAGTATATTGAATTCATTTATTTTATTATTTTATGAATTAATCACTTCGTGTAAATATTAAAAGACCGCGAAACAAATAAAAATTCTCTTTTAATTGTTAATCCTTATCATTTGTGAATGATTGAAGGTATTAAAAACGATGCCATTTCATACAACATTTTAGGAAACCAATGAATACCAATAGCTTCATTTGATTTATGTGACATTCCAAATAAACTGTGCCACCATCTCATAGGCGCTAATACAGCATGAGCAGCATGGTGACTATTGATTGTAGCATAACAAGAAGCTGCAACATTGTTTACAATTAATGTACCTTCTTCCGTTAATGGAGCTATATATCCTTGTTTAACAACATCAGATACATTTGAAACAGTTTCAGTTATTAAGACACCATTGTCATTCATGACATAGACATTCATTCCTATGCGAATATTTTTTGCCATTACATAACCATGTTTATCAGTTGGAACAAGATGAGATGAAGAAAGTGATAACTGTCGACCTGTAGTTGTAATCACTTGTTTGAAGAAAGCTAATATAAAGAACGATATGAAAAGTATAATATAAGTAAATTGATATATTTTACCGAATTGATGTGGTTGAAAATCGAGCATAGTAAGTAGATGTGTAGAGAGAACTTTCTTTGTTTTATCATCATAAGCAAGAAGTGAATCATCTGATTGTAAATCAACAATTGATTTTTGTTTACCATCAGATAAAGTGACAAGAGAATCAGCAGAAAAACAACGTTGTTCCTGAATTACTGAATCTGTAAAAAATAAAAAATAGAAATAAAAATAAAAATATTGAAATAGTTTTATGTGAAAACACATAAAACAGACCTCGAATTGGACATCCTGCTTGATTTCTGTCTGGACAACATCTTTCAGCTATATCTTTGATTTCGTTGAGGGCTGCTTCTCCAAACTAGAACATCTATCAATGAGAAGAATTTTTAAGACTGTAATTGATCTACTTTTTCAGCCACACAACCAAAAATTTCTCTTCTAGCACAATTAGCAATATCAGCAGCAATGCCACATATCATTTTAAGATCTACAGTAAAAATTTTAAAAATTTGACTTATTCACAAAATAAAACGTTATACTTACCTTTTAAAGCAGCTCCGACAGCTCCCGATGTTAAATAACGAAGACAAGCAGCAATATCTCCTGGCTTTGCAGCTATTGCACATTGTGCATGTATATTTGTTGTTAATACACCCATGATAAGAATAAATTTCAATAATATCTAAATGTATCAATTAAATTATTTCTAAAATTTATGAATTTCATTTTCTCTTTCTTTTTTACCATTTTCATTGTCTGCGGAGTTGTATATTGGAACGGGATGGTTTGCGTTTAATTATCAATCAATGAATAACACGATGAGAAGCAAAATGATTTTTTTCTGCACAATGATATCTACCTACTATAGCTCTATCATCAATTATAGAATCAACTCAAATTACAAATACCTGTTTCCTGACGTCTATATTAAAAAAAACGTATCATGTTTTTGTTTCTCTTTTGTTGATGACAACAAAACGATACACAAATCTCACTCGAATTTCCATTTTAAGATGCGAAGAAAAAAGAAGCTATATTGATTCAAGTAGATTGTAGGAGGGTGAATTTTGTTGTTGTCAATATGGTGTTTGACTTCGTTGATAATTTCGATCTTCCTTTTTTTCTTTTTATTAATCATCAGTAATACTAATCTAAATAGTTTATGCAATTTTATTATTTCTCTCTATGTTTCACGTAGAAAAAAGATTGATTTGATTCATTTTGAGGACTGTAAAATATATAGATTTTGTTGGATTAGATGATATAGATATTTCAATATGAAATAATACGTAGTGGCATGTCTAAATCATGCATTGAGTTATATTTGTAATAAGACATTGATATTTTTCATAAATAACGAGTGACCCACAATGAATAATATCTATAGAACACGTAGACATGGCTTAGTTTCTATTAAAAATCGATTACTTTTTCTTACAAATATTAATTTTCAGTACTCAACAAAAAAGATTGATGAGAGAAAATTGAAATTCGTAACAGAACATTGTCGATGGACAATGCGTAAGCGGACCCTTACCCTAAGTTTCTGTCGGAAAAATTTTTATCTTAGAAATTAAGAAATGTCACTTTATTTGATGCAGTTTTCCGTGTTGAGTTCAAATATGTCATTACTTTTTCTTAAAGTGTTTCTGAGACAAAAGCAAGCCGAAAATCTTTAAAAACCAAAGGTTTTTTGGAAAATCTGTATCTCCGTTCACAAACATTTATGCATTTCTATGCTAACTGAGTAGATATGGTAGGCAGAGAAAAACAGTCCGCAACAAGTTTCGTCGAGTTTGGAACTGCGCTAAAGTGTGCATGTCAACTACACTTCAAGCCTTTAGTTGAGAAAGTATGCATATTTTTCTCAACAGTGAAATTTGTTAGAATAAAGCTTTTCATATAGAACGATAGAGCAAAGCTCTACGATTTATTCCTTAGATCTTTCTACTATCCTTGGAAGAAGATACTTTCCTTTGAATTGACAGAAACTTTGTCTAGGATGTTACCAAATCCTTAAAAAAGCTAGAATGATTTTTTAATCAAAATATCGACCATTGGACATTATTCAAGTCATAAAAAATATCACTTTCATTTTTCACCAAGTGTTCACGTTGTTGCCCACTGTTTGACTCATGAAGCATAGAAAACTGATTTTTTTTGTTTGTAAACAGCAACATTTTTTAAAGACACCATTCTAAGCTCATTCGAAAGAGAGACTTTGTCGCTCTACAAGACTGTCGAATTTGTTCTTCGAATAAGTTTCTTCTGTCGTAGAAAAATCGAAAAGATTGACAAACACTTAGTTGTTGAATTGGGTCTCTCAGAAAACAAAACATTTATTAAAAATATGCTTCATTACCAATTTCGTCGAAATTTGATATGTTGAAAGATGCCCCATGAAGCTCTGCATCTCACGATGTTTCGCAATTTTGAAAAAAAATAAATGCGGAAACTTCGGATTTAAATCCGAGAGTTATGTGTACTTCAAAAAGTGAATCATACAAATCAATCATCCTAGACTATCT